TATCTTGATCCTGTGCACAACTTTCTGTAGTCCACCATTTCTCAATTATTTTTGTCTCGGGACCTCTTTCCACTCTGGGTTTATATGGGTTATATCTATCAATATTTACTGTATCAGAAATTGAGACAGACACATTTTAAATAATAATTACAAGCTCATATAAAAATAATAAATCCATGAGAAGAGTGGTGTGGCTTTACATTTTTGCAGATTTCTTTAATGTTAGGCTAAATAGAAGACACTTTGAGAACCCCCACTGCAGGCCGAGCCAGTGGCAGGCAGGCCAAATGGAGTGATAGTCTGGTACGCAGAGCAAGGCTGATTAGATTCATTTCTTCCTATTGAAGACCACAACAGATTGGGAGCAGGTACATGGTAATCTTCGGAGCAGAAGCTGTATTTGTTTCTTTTGTTGATGTTGCTTTGTTCAGATACCCTTCCCAGTCATCTGTGCATGATTTCTCTGTCTACCTTCATTTTAAGTGTGTACTCTGGTAAAGGCCTTACTGTCAATTCTAAACACTCTTGTGCATTGCAGGCCATTCATTCAACAAATATTTGTTGAGTTTTTGTAGTGTGCAGGGTGCTCTGCCAGGCACTGAGGATAAAGTAGGGAACAAAATAGGCAGCTCTTTTGTTCTTGTGGACTTTACATCTAAATAGTTAATTAAATAAAATACTGTTTATTTATAACCGTGATTAAATGTTCTTACAGTACGGGATGCTATGTGAGCATATAATGGGGTAACAGTCTTTACTTTGGGATCAGGGAGACCTTCTTTAATGATGTGATGTCTGTGTTGTGTGCTGAAGGATGGGTGTAGTAGCAGAAGTGCTTCATTAGGTTAAATTGTACGGAGGTGGGGATCTTGTCTGTGACTCAGATAGAAAGGTAAGAAAATGGAAGAATCAACCCTGAACAGTGTTCCCAATTGAGGGAAGGAGAACTAAGGGTTTGGAGATAAGTATTGATTATTTAAGTAGATAGTTGTTTAATTTCTGAGACACTGTGGAATTCAGTGGAGGTTCCATGACAATGAGAAGTTTATACCATGGGCCAGTACTTCTCAAGTTTTAATGTACAGACAGATGGTCTAGGGATCCGGTGAAAATGCAGGCTTAGATGAAATAGGTCTGGGATGGGCCCTGAAATACTTTTGTTCTAAAAAGCTCATAGTGATGCTGATGATGCTGGTCCATGGACCACACTTGGAGTAGCAGGACTATAATTACACATAATCTGATTTCAGTAGGAGGATGGGCTGGACAAGAGGCTGGATGAATATTCTAGAGGTGATGTGGAGTAGGGAGAGGTATTTGATAACAGAGAAGACAGCAGTTTGGTTTAAGAAGTATCATGCCACATACTGAAAGCTAAAAGCAATTCACAGTTGCTATTCCAGAGAAGACAGGCAAGCTAGGGATTGAGATAGATGGCCACTAGCACAGCCAGTGAAATCTTCTACAGAGTCATTTCTGTGGTGAGGACCAGGTGAACTAAATGGCCATTATTAGTCTGCCTAGGGAAAAGGTCAGGTACTGAGGATTGATGGCCACACTCACGGTAATTATGTGGGCTCCAGAAATGATCTACATGATAGCAGCTAGTGGTACTAGAAAGGAGGTGCACTTCACTTGGAAAAAGCAAAATGTTCAATACTGCTTCTCATTAATCATAGGTGATTAATCATTAATCCATAGGTGAAGAGTATTGCCAAATAGATTCAGGTTAAAAATGGCTGGAAATGGCAAGGGTAGGAATAGAATGGAGGAGGGGAAAGAAACTTATAGTTAATAACCCCTTTGAAAGAATCACCACCATTAAGCCTAATAATCACACATGTCTCTTCTTTTTTTTTTTTAATTTTTTTTTTAATTAATTTATTTATTTGAGAGAGAGAGAGTGAGAGACAGAGAGCATGAGAGGGGGGAGGGTCAGAGAGATAAGCAGACTCCCTGCCGAGCAGGGAGCCCGATGCGGGACTTGATCCCGGGACTCCAGGATCATGACCTGAGCCGAAGGCAGTCGCTTAACCAACTGAGCCACCCAGGCGCCCCCACACATGTCTCTTCTTAATTTCACTGGCATCCAGAACAGAAGCTTATAAGACCATCAAAAGACATTACTGGTCTGCCCTTGTTCGATTATATTACTATGGAAAATACCTTTTCATTGTAGTTACGCTTTAAATTTTTGTTCAAGATATTTTATAGTTATTCATAAATGTGTTTGGATCAGAGAAAGTAACATCAAGTTATGAACCATGTTGTGAACTGTATGTATAAAAATATTTTATATTTGATCACATTCTCTTCATGGTTTAAAAGAAATATTTTGGAATGCTATAATGGCTTAAAACCTAACTTTCTCTCCCCAGTAGAATGCCATCTCTTTGGATTTGGCAAAATCTTATGACCTTCAGAACATGGAAGGAAAGGAATTAGGGTACTGATAAGCAGTCATTTTAGGTTACTTGTCTTTTAACTTTTTTACATGTACCTATAGAAGAATAATAAGCATGAGTTACTGCTACAGAGGACTAAGTGAATACTGAATCAGGCAACTGTCTTAAACTTTCTAAAACCCTGAAGGCAGAAATGAATCAATAGAATTCAGTACTAGTCCTAAAGTAAAATCAACTTTTTTTAAAAAGATGAGTAAAGAATTATTTATTTATTTATATTTAAAAGTGTGGTCAAACACATAATGTAAAATTCAGCATCTTAGCCATTTTTAAGTGTACAGTTCAGGAACAATACATATATTCGCATGATTGTGCAACTAAGCTCTAGAACTCTTTTTGCAAAACTTGTAAAATCTAATTTGTTAATTAGGTTGCCTCTTGATTTTTAGAGGCAGGCCCACCTAAAAGGGGAGCCTGAGGAAAGTTGAGGGTATGGCATATGTTTGTGAAAGGTCAAGTTTCCTTAGATATCTGTACTTCTAAACTGTGACTCAGTAAGAGCTTGGGTGTCAAGGAACATGAAAGTACGAGAGCAGTTTTTTTGAAAAGAACTGAAATATATAAAAAGGAACTCTCTTGAAGTCACAGACTTGAAAAAGAGTAGTCATTGTTACAAAGATGATCATTTCTGTATTGCCTTTGGTTTAAATGATTGGGCTATTAAAAGCTATTCAGTAGGCTGTCATTCTTGGGATAATGCTATCTAAATAGTGCAACAGAACATTGCCTGCTAGACTGGGATCCTGCCATGCCTTGGGAGCATTTGGGGCAGAGACAGTTGGTAGTACTCTACCTTCTCCACCTGGGGAGTGGTGATGACTGCACACAATGATATACTCCCCGCATCTCATTCACCTCATCCAGAGGCAGCCCCATGGGGAAAAGTGTTCATTGGAGAGGTAAAAACATTTCCATATGTGCCTAGAAACAGTTCTAGAGACAAGGAAAAACCTTTCAGTTTTAAAGCCAAGCAGCTTGAAAATCTAGTTTGAAACTAGATTTGTGTTCCCGAATGCCGACATGACTCAGCTGTTCATGCTAGTAAAATATGCCTTGCTCTCCACTGGGTCAATGATGGATTTTTAATGGGTGAGAACGAGGGCCCCATCTTCATCTGGCTAATATGATTCTAGTGAAATGAAACTAAAAGGTGGGACTTGCCTGTTTTCTTCTGGTTTGCCTTGGGTTCCTTGATTGTATAGCAAACCTCTTAATCGAAACTTATTATCAAGCCCGAAGAAGTTCTACCAAGAGTTAGTATTAGAAATTGCCCCTAGCTGCAGATAATGTCTCATTATGCTACTGTATCATCGAGGGTCATACGTGTCCGTTCTTGACATCTTTTTACCTTTGTGGCTTCAGAGGGCACAGAAAGAATCCTCAGTGCTGGATCTTGCTTTTGTTGTCTGCCGCCCCCCCCAAGTTTATAATTTTTTTGTAGCTTATTTTAATATACTTAATGATTTATTAAAGTCTTGATTTTGTTGTTGATGGTGTATATTCAAACAGCTAATGTAATCACATCAATATTGGAATGTTTGTATTACAAAGCAGCATACAAGGCTCTGGCCCAAATCAAAGTAGATTTTAGGTATTTCCAATCTATATCTAAGAAAACTTTTTTTTTTTTTTTTAATGCCTAAACTTAACCTGCTCCAGAATTGACTGCGTTAAGGACATAGAATTAGGGGCTTATTAGTAAGGGGCTTATTAATCTGAAGGCTTCTATTATCTATTGTACAACTCATGAACTAGAAGAATGGACTTTGAGATTTTAATCCATGTCCTTACCTTGTTTTGAGCTACTGCAGTGGTTAAATCTGTGTCCTGCCTGGCTTATCAAAGTCTGCTTCTACTTAACATAAATCCAGAGGGAGCTGGAAGCACACATTTACATCTTAGCTAGAGCAGGGCTAGGATACTTTAGGATTTTTTTCTTTAATGTACATTTTGTGTTCTCCCAACCCATAGTAGTAATTGGCAACTGCTCCCTACGTTAGTTTCTATTTGGGGATGTCCTTTGGTTAATACAGGTGAATACCACACAGAGGCAAGAGGAGAAAAGAGGGAAAAAGACAGAATCCTTCAAGCATGTAGGGATGTGCATCAAGAATTTCAAAGACTCTTCAAACAGATGTAGAGGGGTGGGCAAACAGCAAATTCGAAGGCTTTCAACCATGACATTTTCTTCTAATGAAGAAGAGCTGGAAAGCTGTAATTTTGAGAGTGTTGCAGTATTTTAAATCAGACACTTAGCACATTTTAAAATAGTGGTGAAATGTAAAATTTTTTTCCATCTTAGATAGAATTAAGCATTTTTGGTCATCATCTTACTTTGATAGTTGTGGGTCTCGGAGTGAATGGCAGAGCTTTTAAAATTTAGGTGGGTTGTAGCAACATCTCCCTCTGTCCTTTATCGCCGTTATTTTCATGGTATGTGAAGATATTTTTGTCTCTTAAAGAAAGCAGTGCATTTTCTTTTTCTAGTGCTTCACCAATGACCTTCAATTAATTCTCTATTTTTATGCTTTGCAGTACATTTTTATACCTGAAATTCCTGGTAGTGTGGGCACTTGTCCTCCTGGCAGATTTTGTCCTGGAGTTCAGATTTGAATACCTGTGGCCGTTTTGGCTTTTCATCAGGAGCGTCTATGATTCCTTCAGATACCAGGGACTGGTATGTTTATTAATATGTTTTTCAAGTCTAAGGGGTTTAATTTTCTAAGAAAGTCTTCAGTAACTGATGATAAAAAAACCCACTATCAAATCATTATACCTCACCCACCCTTCTCTACCATTCCAGTGAAAAGAAGGGGAGGGACAAAGACCTTGGGAGGGAAACAGAGTAGTGAAGGAAGCAATAATTACCCAGTCCTACTCTGAAGTATTTCTGGAGCCCTATCACCACATTAGTGATTGGGTTAGAGTTACAGCAGTGGTTCTCAAACTTTGTGGTCTCAGGGCCCCGCTAAACTCTTAAAAACTACTGAGGATTCCGAGGAGCTTTTATTTATCTGGGTTAGATCTATCCATATTTACTATATTAGAAATCAAAACTGAAAACAAATTTAAATGCTTATTAATTCACTTAAAAATAATAACAAGCCCATTACATGTTAATGTAAATTACATTTTTAAATGAAAAATATATTTTCCAAAACAAAACAATTAGAAGATTGACTACATTTTTGCAAATGTCTTTAATGTCTGGCTTAATGGAAGGCAGCTGCATTTTCATATCTGCGTCTGAACTCAGTGGATTGCAATATCACGTATCATGTAGCTTCTCGAAAAAGCCACCTTAATCCTAAGTGAATGAGCATGAAAAAGGCAGATGCCATCTTAATATTGTTAGGAAAATGGTGTTGACCTGGAAGACCCACTGAAAGGATCTCAGAGACACCCCACTGCCCCACTGCCCCTGGAAATCCCCAAACTATGTTTTGAAAACTACTGGGTTAGAGCAAGGGCTTAGCCTGGGCTTGTTCCCCTGGCTGATCTGCAGTTCTCTTGTGTCCTCTGGCTACACCTTATACCTGGAACTCTTCCACTCAGAAATCCAGAGCCTCAAAAAGATGGCTTCGGGCTCATGTCCTCTTGGGAATAATACCTAGTGGTGTGTCCAGAGAAAGGCTGCGTTATTTAAATCCTTAACATCAGCATAATTCTTACTGTCATGGTTCATTTGTGCTCCAACAGCCGGTTCTTCAAGAATGAGGCTCTTACTATGGACTCTGAAAAACAAACTGAGGGTTCTAGAGGGGAGGGGGTGGGAGGATGGCTTAGCCTGGTGATGGGTATTAAAGAGGGCACGTTCTGCATGGAGCACTGGGTGTTATGCACAAACAATGAATCATGGAACACTACATCTAAAACTAATGATGTAATGTATGGGGATTAACATAACAATAAAAAAATTAAAAAAAAAAGAATGAGGCTCTTTAGGAATGTTTTAAGAGGAGAGAGGAACCCTTTCTGTGTTAAAATTCTAGTTTTAGGTAACCCACCTGCGGAGTCCAAATGAACTCATTGGGACCCAACTCAGCTTGTTCTGGTCCAGTTCTTCTTGATTTGAGGACATAAATAGGATTACTTTTTAATATTGAATTCACCTCTACTTTTTACATAGTGGTTTTTATATGTTTAAAATTCCCTGTTGTCACTTGCTCTATAGTTCTTGCATGTCGGTTTCAGAGATTTTGTTCAACATGCTTTTAATAATCCGTTTGAAAATAACAAGTTCTAAGATGAGTTTTTAATTTTGTTTTGTTTTTTCCTTTAGGCCTTCTCAGTATTTTTTGTTTGTGTAGCTTTCACATCAAATATAATATGTCTGCTGTTCATCCCCATACAATGGCTCTTTTTTGCTGCTAGCACCTATGTATGGGTTCAGTATGTATGGCACACAGGTAAGTCTTAATGGCTTCTTAGATGGATAGAAATCTTGGATTCAAACTTTTTTAATGTAATGATTTCTTTGACTACATTATTTAGAGTTGAGTTTAATGTGGACATTTTTTTAAAGATTTATTTATTTATTTTTGCGTGCGCATGCACACACGAGAGAGAAAGAGAGGGAGAGAGAGAGAGAGAGAGCACGAGCAGGGTGGGGGAGGGGCAGAGGGAGACTAAAACTCCCCGCTGAGCTGGGAGCCTGATGCGGGACTTAATCCCAGGACCCTGGGATCATGACCTGAGCTGAAGGCAGATGCTTAACCGACTGAGCCACCCAGGTGCTCATGTGGACATTTTTTCTTTTTTAAAGATTTTATTTATTTATTTGAGAGATAGAGTGGAGAGAGAGTATGAGAGGGGGGAAAGTCAGAGGGAGAAGCAGACTCCCCACTGAGCAGGGAGCCCAATGCGGGGGCCGATCCCCAGACTCCAGGATCATGACTTGAGCTTAAGGCAGAGGCCCAACCAATTGAGCCACCCACGTGCCCCCCATGTGGACATTTTTAAGTGGCCTTTTCCTAATAGATTATACCTCTAAAATATATTTTATATTTTTTTCATTATTAAATGAAAAGTTTAAGTCTTTATGATTTGACATCTCAATTGTAGGCATCTCAATGACCAATTCTCATTATGAAGATTTTTTTTTTTTTTTTTTTTTTTTTAAGTTGAAATGGTTTATGTTTAGGTAGACTCGTAGACAGCGATGTTCCACATAGGAAAAATGTTCCTGGAGTTTCAGCTTTGAAAGGAATGTCTGAGGTCATTTTGTTGAACCCTTATTTGGTATAAGAATCCCCACAGCATCCCTGACACATAGTGGTTTAGTCTCTGATTGAAAGGCCACAGTGACAAGGAACTCCGCTTTGGGGGCAGCTATAGTAGAAAGTTCTTCCTGATACTGAGCCAGAATTTTCCTCCTTACACTTTTGACCCAGTACATCTTGACTGTTTGGGGGTTTGTTTATCTCTTAGAGGATATAAGGAGGCTTTCCCCCCAAGCATAGGGAAGTGTACACCACTTGCCTTCAGATTCAAGGGGTCTGCAGACCATCCCCTCAAGCCCCAACACCGCATGCCTGCATTGGAACCACACGAAAGGAGTGTGGTCTCCCATCCACGGTTAGCATTTTGTAGAGATTTCAAGACACTGTCCTATCCTCTCGGGCCTTCTTGTCTGTAGGCACAGCATCTCTGGTTTCATCAGCTTCTCCTTATGTGTCATTTGAAGCACTTTCACCGTCCTGATCTCCCGAGTTCTTGAGTGGTTCTCGTCACCAAAATGTGCTGTTTCTGGTATGTTCTGCCTAGAGTGGAGCCACACAGTCCTCTCCCTTCTTCCTAAAGCTAACACGACAGTTCCTCAGTCTGCTTTCCTCTAATTAAAGTGATTTTTTTCATACTTTAGTTTTTCCTTGTATTTTCTTGTCCTGGGTCTTCGTTTCAAGTGAGTTGCCATTTACACTTGTCATTCTGTCTAGGTCTCAGTTTCTTCTTTTTTTTAAGATTGATTTATTTATTTGTGGGCGAGGGGCAGAGGGAGAGAGAGGATCTCCAGCAGACTCCCTGCTGAGCAAGGAGACTGACACAAGGCTGGATCCCACGACCCTGAGATCATGACCTGAGCCCAAATAAAGAGTCGGCTGCCTAACCTACTGAGCCACCCAGGCACCCCATCAGTTTCTTCTTTGTCATAAGATGGTGGAATAATCTAGATAATGTTTAGGGGAGCCTTCCAGCTTAACAATCCATGACTCTGATGAACTATAATGATTTCCTAAATTACTTTAATAATGTCTTAGTAGTTTGGAAAAAACAACTCCTATAACTACTAACAGAATCTACTGGGAATGAGTTCAGTGGGTGACCCACAGAGCAGCAGTGAAGCGAATATCATAAGTGATACTGGCCTCTCTTTAGCCCTAGGCTCAGAAATGTTGGAATAGCTAAGTTGTGAAGTATGTTTTAATTTGGAATGATTAATATTCAAATAAACAAAACAAAGCAAACTTTGTATTCCTATTGGGCTGAAGAGATCTAAGTACAGTTTATATAACTTGGGAATAATTTCTCTTATCATTTGTTAAAATTTAAAATTCTTAAGTTTATTAGGAATCATTGATGCAATTATGTATTGCCACAAAAGAATGATTATATCAGGGCGCCTGGGTGGCTCAGTTGGTTGAGCGACTGCCTTCGGCTCAGGTCATGATCCTGGAGTCCCTGGATCGAGTCCCGCATCGGGCTCCCTGCTCGGCAGGGAGCCTGCTTCTGCCTCTGACCCTCCCCCCTCTCATGTGCTCTCTGTCTCTCATTCTCTCTTTCTCAAATAAATAAATAAAATCTTTAAAAAAAAAAAAAAGAATGATTATATCATAAACTTCCTTGCTGTTAAGAGGGAAAAAAACAGAATACAAAACTGTATGTACAACATGACTCACTTGCTCAAAAATATTTTCAACGTAATTTTATTATTTGATAAGTGTAGAAATACAGGTATTTTGTCCAAAAATTTCTATTTTTTTCTGTAATGTGATTATGTATATGATAACTTCAGAAATTAATATAGGGAGTTAGAGAATATAAATTTTTGAAAATGCATTTTGCAATGAATTTGAAAATGCATTATCCTAAGAGTTGCTATTTGTCTTCGTACACTGTGAAAATGCCCCTTTTTTTGTATGTTAAATCTATAAGAATGGTTGAGGCCATTCGCTGCCTTCACAGAGCTTTTAGCGTTTTCTTACTGCATGGACTAGGTCTAAGGGGATTTAAGTTCTTCTTAGGAGCAGACCCAGGATTATCTCTGTGAACTTGGACCCAATTTGTATAAACTCTGGGCCTTACTTTACTCTTCAGTATGATAAGGAGGTTGGACTAAATGATCTTTGTAGTTCCAAGATGCTATGATTTTTCTTTTGTTTCATCCCAAAGATCCTTAGTAAAAAGCTATTTAGTCCTTCAGATCACTGATTTCCCTCCCCTGACTCTCTATTCTCTCTTCTATAACTCGCTTGCCTTAAATAGTCTCAGAGGAGCTCTTTCCAGAGTTATTGGACCTCATGCCTATGTAGTCCATCTTCATTTAAAAAAAAAAAAAATCCCATTATTAATCATGTCCTGACATAGATAAACCTAGCCTGCAGATTTTGATTCTAAAAATCAATGAAAATTACCTCATTATTTGTATCTTATTTATTCTATTGCAAGTTGCTTTTTACTCCCTTGAAAATTGTTTTTATTGTTTATTTTTTTAAAAAGATTTTATTTGTCAGAGAGAGAGAGAGAACGCGCACAAGCAGGGGGAGTGGCAGGCAGAGAGAGAAGCAGGCTCCTCATTGAGCAGGGAGCCTAATGCAGGGCTCCATCCCAGGACCTTGGGGTCATGACCTGGGCCAAAGGCAGATGCTTAACTGACTGAACCACCTGGGCACTCCCCAAAATTGTTTTTAATTATAAAAGAAATATAAGCTTGTAGTTAAGAAAAAAAATTTGTAGAACAGGGGTGCCTGGGTGGCTCAGATGGTTAAGCGTCTGCCTTTGGCTCAGATCATGATCTCCAGGTCCTGGGATTGAGCCCCTCGTCTGTCTGTCTGTCTGTCTCCCGGGTCAGCGAGGAGTCTGCTTCTCCCTCTCCCTCTGCCTCTCCCCCTGCTTGTGCTCTCTCTGTCTCTGTCTCTGTCTCTCTCTCAAATAAATAAATAAAATCTTTTTAAAAAAAATTGTAGAACAGAACTTAAATGTCAGAAACATTTCTTTGTGCAATAACTCATTCTTCAGAATTTATTTTTTTTTACATGTTAGTACAGATCATTCTTTTGAAAAGCTGCATCTTTTATTATACAGATTTATCATAAACAGTTCTCTGTTGATACACATTTAAAATAATTCTACATTTTTTGCTATTGCAAATAATAATATAGTGAATATTCTTATACATTTATTCCAGGGCTTTTTAAAAATATTTCTATAGGGTAGATTCCTGGAATTGGAATTTCTGGGTCAAATGTATAATATTTTAAATTTAATTATACTGACGAACTGCTTTCTAAAAATGTTGCCCCAATTTATATTTTTGCCAAGTATGAGAACGAACCCTTTGCCTTACCCTCCCTATATTACCTGTCTTTTAAATTTTGCTTATCTGGTAGGTTAAAAAAAAATGGAATCTCATTTTTGAAACATTTGTATCTCCCTAATCAGTGGTGAAGTTGAGCATCTTTTCATATGTTTTTAAGCCATCTATATTTTTCTTTTATAATTTGCAAATTCTTTTCTTCAGTTGTCTTTTTATTGATTTGTAGGAGCTCTTTGTATGGTAGGGCTGTGACTCCTTTCTTTTACATATTGTAAATATTTTTTGCCAGAATGTTTGTCTTTTATTTTTGTCTATGATTCCATCACATCTTTTGTCATATAAAAGCTTTCAGTTTGGATCATATTCCTTTTTATTTTTAAAGATATATTTATTTATTTTGAGAGAGAGCATGAGCTAGAGTGTGGGGAGGGGGGTAGAGGGAGAGGGAGAGAGAATCTCAACCAGACACTGCTGAGGGCAGAGCCCGGCATGGGGTTTGATCTCACGGCCCTGAGATCATTACCTGAGCCAAAATCAAGAGTCGGACACTTAACTGACTGAGCTGCCCACGTGCCCCTGAACCATATTGCTTTTTAATTAGTTTGAAGTCTTAATGAAAGTTGCTGTAGTTGAGAGAACAAAGTGATGGTCGCCAGAGGGAAGGAGCATGGGGGGAGGGGCAACATGGGTGAAGGGGAGGGAGGTACAGGATTCCAGTTGTGGAATGAGTAAGTCACGGGAGTAAAAGGCACAGCATAAGGAATATAGTCAGTGATATCGTAATAGGGTTGTGTGGTGACAGATGGTCACTACACTTGCGGTGAGCACAACATAACATATAGGGAAGTTGAATCACTATGTTGTACACATGAAACTAATGTAACATTGTGTGTCAACTATACTCAAAAAAAAATAAGAAAGTTACTGCAGTTGAACTAGTCTCCCAAACAACCCATCTGTTATGTTAGTTTAATGTATCACTGATGCTTGTCTCTCTGCTGCTTTCCCACAGAAAGGGGAGTGTGTTTGCCCACAGTGTCGCTCTGGATACTCTTTGTTTATATTGAAGCAGCAATTAGGTTTAAAGATCTCAAAAATTTTCACGTAGACCTTTGTCGTCCATTTGCTGCTCACTGGTGAGTATTATGTGTATTCTTAATCTATAATTCAGTTCAATGTAGAATGGTAAGTTCAATCATAAGTTTTGTTTTTAGAGATTTTGCATGAACCCGGAAGACAACATAACATAGTGGTAAAGAGCATGAGCCCTCTATTCAGGCAGATGAGTGTCTGAACCCCAGCTCTTTCCCCTAACAGCATTGTTGCCTTGGGCCTGTCACTCTCTCTAAGCCTTAGCTGTCTCACCTGTGTATTAGGGACCTGTCTTGTAGGGTCGTGGGAAAGAGGAAATGTGGGGATATATGTAAAGTATTTAACTTAATTTCAAGCACAAAGGTGTCTGATAAATGTTATCTATTTTTATTATAATCAGATAAGGATTCTAAAATGCCTTAATGAAATGTATGGCTATTTCATGAAGCTTAAATGAACTGACTTAATTTTTGCTAATATTTATGGCAGAAACCAAAATAAACAGGTATCAACTAAAAAGATATAGTTTCCAATATTTTAAAGTCTTTTCACAAGCAAGTGAATTAAGTAAACTTGGTCAATAAAACTTGTCACTTTAAATTTGTAGTGGGATCACATTTAGACTAATTATAATTTATAAGTTTGAATGTTAATGAAGCTGAATATGAGTTTTGACAGTGTTTGCAGAGGCTTTGAAATGATATTAGACAGACTGATGAGTTGAATGAAAATATTTCAACTTTTTATCCCAGAGGTTAGAGTTACAAGTGCAGCTGGTTTAACTTGGTCCTACAAAACAAATATTGGCACTGATAATATCAATCCTCATTTAAATGATTCTTGAATTTATGTATGACAGAGTATTTATGAACTGATTTTTCAGGAACAGCTGGTTGACAATACCCCTCAGGCAGCAAGAATAAAGTAGTCACCTGAGTTTGACCCTGGCTGTGGTATTAAAAATGAATATGTGTCCGTTTTGATTTTCTAACACTTACAGTGTTTACTTTTACCCACTCATAAAATCTCCACCCTGTTAGTTCTTAAAAGCATACAGATGGCCAAGTTCTTTTTTTTTTTTTTAAAGATTTTATTTATTTATTCATGAGAGAGAGAGAGAGAGAGAGAGAGGCAGAGGGAGAAGCAGACTTCCCACAGGGCGGGGAGCCCGATGCGGGACTCGATCCCAGGACCCCGGGACCATGACCTGAGCCGAAGGCAGACGCTTAACCATCTGAGCCACCCAGGCGCCCCAGATGGCCAAGTTCTAATAATGCACAAGGGACTTTGGTGTTAATCAAAGACATTAGCCACTGTATCCAGCAGTCACTGGCTTAAGTTCTTGAGTTGGTTTGAAGAATGCTGGAGTCTGGTGGGCAGCCTCTCATGGTCTAGCAGTCCTGCGGCTCCCTGGGGGTGTGTTCTGTGTGCCGGCTGCCTCTCATTTCCACAGCAGACATCCCGTATATTTATGTGTTTACTAAGTGCTCTAATACCATTATCATCTAGAATTTATTTCTTAATTTCAGTCCTAGATGTCCTCATGTGTTTGATGCATGTGTTGTGTGTTTTTTACTGACAATAACTGGCTAGATTTTCTTCTTTCTAGCATTGGGTACCCTGTGGTGACTTTGGGCTTTGGCTTCAAAAGTTATGTAAGCTACAAAATGCGGTTAAGGAAGCAGAAGGAAGTGCAAAAAGAGAACGAATTTTACATGCAGCTTCTTCAACAAGCTCTCCCCCCAGAGCAACAGATGCTACAGAAGCAAGAAAAAGAGGCCGAGGAAGGTAGGTCTTTACCCTAAAGTTGTGTTGGCTGGGTAGATTAGTCATTATTTTGTTGCTATCAGTAGAATTTTTTTTTTCCCCTGGCAGCGTTGGTAGGACTTTGGAAGATGACCAAGGATTTTCCTGTTTTCTGGTGTTCCCTTTCAGGGCCATTGCTTTGTTTGGTCATGAAATACAGGGTGTGGGGGTTTTCTACCTCGTGTCTGAAGACCATGTGCTTTTACTATGTTTATTTTATTATTTTTATATATTTTATTTTTATAGCTTATTTTATATTTCAATACTTTATCTGTTATAAATATTTTAAAATATTTGTTCTCAGTAGCAATGTATATATAACTCTGTGACTTTGTAGTTGAGGCAAGCCAAGAACCAAAGTATAAGCAAGATCGAGAGGTAGACAGAAACAATTGTTTTATAAGTTAAAATTCTTCTGAATAGAGCAAAGGTAGGTAGGTCCCATTTTAAATGGCTCATATAATGCAGTATGGATCTTAAAGTGGACTTTTTCTAACAGGATCTCTCAAATGAGCATATGTCCAATTCAGTAGATGAATTGACAGCAGTATCAGTTTTCTTTGATTTGAGAGTTGGAAGTTTGGAGTCATGTTTTTAGTTCATATATACCAAAATCTTATTCTCTGGTATGGTTCAAAAATCTCTTCAAGTAGACTTGGACAAACTGGACTGTGTAGACCTCATACAGAAAATTCTTTTCGAGTGGTCTAGTAAATGCCACAGACTTTTTATTACCTTAATGCTAGAGTCAAGAAAAGGATAATGCCCTATATCCTAACATCACACCTCTTCTTTTGTTTCATTTAATTGCTGTTTTTTCAGTAAAGTTATTAACAGTTTGGTTAGCATCTCTTAAAATATGGCCACTTAAGAGTCTGACCTGCCTGTGTGCTCTTTCTTCATCCCAGTGATAGACAAGTTTGATTTGACTGATAAGTATGATTTAATTATAAAAAAGCCTCATCTTCTTCTCAAGGCCCAAACTATAATGGCTTGGTGTTTATAAATGATGGTGATTTTCTAAATGGGCAGCTTCTCAAATTTATCTGGATTTGCTTCTTGAAGTTAGCATAATGTGGTGTGGTTATTGCTTCTCAATGAGTTTGCAAATTGATATAGTGAGTCTCTAAGTGTAGATAATGCAGTTTGTTGAATCAATCTGTGCTGTGTTTTTATACAACTAAATATTCCGGTGTGGGTTTTTTTGTTTGTTGGTTTGTTTTTGGTATTGTAGCAGCCAAAGGATTGCCTGATATGGATTCCTCGATCCTTATACACCACAACGGAGGTATCCCAGCCAACAAAAAACTCTCCACAACTTTGCCAGAGATAGAATACCGAGAAAAAGGGAAAGAAAAGGACAAGGATGCCAAAAAACACAACCTTGGAATAAACAACAACAATATTCTACAACCTGTAGACTCGAAAATACAAGAAATTGAGTATATGGAAAACCATATCAATAGTAAAAGATTAAATAATGATCTTGTGGGAAGTACAGAAAATCTCTTGAAAGAGGACTCATGCACTGCTTCCTCAAAAAATTACAAAAATGCCAGTGGAGTTGTGAACTCCTCACCTCGCAGTCATAGCGCCACAAATGGGAGCATTCCTTCCTCATCTAGTAAAAACGAGAAGAAGCAAAAATGCCCGAGCAAGAGCCCAAGTACACACAAGGACTTAATGGAAAACTGTATTCCTAATAACCAGCTAAGCAAACCAGATGCACTGGTAAGGTAAGTGCGTGCTGTGTCCTCCCCACCACTTTCCAGTAAAGTTGACTTAGGTCTTGAAAAACAGACACTTCCATACAGGCCTGTAGGCCTTGGTTGTGATCAGATACTGTGACTAATAACTCTGTGGGATTTGACATTTTAGTGTTTATCTCGCATGGCTTTGTTGGCCCCCTGGTGCCATTGTCCTGAAGCATTGACTCCAGCTCTTTCCAGTGTTGGGAGTAAGAGGTGACAGTGATTTCTGTGCACATTTGACCAATTCACATGTAACTTGATTCCTCCTGTGGTGTTGAGAGACATATCTGTAGTGCTGGTCCTTTTCTGTTTGCACATCCAAAGTTCTTGTGGCAGAGACACAAAGCGAAGAGTCCATGTCCTGTTCGTGCACAGCTCTTTGTCAGAAAGGTACAGAAGATGGGGTGGGGCTGGTGTGGAGAAAGTTGTCCTCACCACCTTGTGCTTGCTTTTGTTATTCCACTTAAAATGTGAATTATGTCCCAGATAATTCTGGGAAAATTAGGTTTGAAAAGTAATTTCTAAAAATCCCCTAGGTAAATACAATGTGAGATTTAAATTTTAATCAGAAATGTTCCTTTTCCCATCTTTAAGTAAAAGAATAACATTGTTGCATTACCTTGACTGGCTCAGCCTTAATTTTGCTGTGTTTTTTATATTTTCTAAAATACACATGTGTTCCTTTTACCTCGTATCTTTCAATATGGAAACTGGAATCTGAACTGGAGCATTTTTTATGTGTAACTCGAGAAGACACTTAAAACTCCCTCCCTCCGCTAAGTCATCTTATATCCCTCTTCCTTTGGCTTAATTAAGAGCAGACAATTTATTCTAGGAGGGAAGGTTTCCAGCATTATAAATTATATGAACTAGATTATTCATTTGTCTGAATTTTCTGACTGGCAGCTAGATTAAGGGAAATACGTTTGGGTTCTACCTATCGCTAAAGGCTCGAGAGGTTTCTGAGCCCCCAGCCACTTGTAGGAGCGTTCCATGCTGTTGATGCTGCCAGGCTGACATCCCCTTGTGTTCGTTAATGACATTCTGCCCATGATGCCCTGCAGAGAAAACACTCAGCAGAGAGCCCTCCTCCAGGCACCCATGGGAGAAAGACCAATTAGTTGACTTTCTATTTCAAAGGAAATGTCCCACAAATTTACTATATGCTATAAACAAAACATGGGCCACAAGCTTTTTGACCTCCTTTCTCCTACACAGTTTTATTAATAGCAGTCAAGGCAAAACAGTTTTCCTCTGTTGGGTTTGCAGAGAGAGCAGACGAGGCTCAGTCTCGTGACAGTATCTCACGTGGACCACAGTTCCAACGTTGATTGACTCTACCACCTAACCTGCCTTTAGTAAAGAAGTGCAAGGACTCAGATGGCCAGTTTTCCTGTGCATGGGTCCAGTGCCCCCATGTCTCATCCTGGGTTGGATGCCTCTTCCTGTGGTCACTAACGTACTCTGATGTGCCTTGATCTGGAGGGCCTCAGACATTACTCTGTTCTAGGGAACATCTGCTGTCAAATACATAAATAGAAAATATTATATGTAAATAGTGTTGTGAGCTTCCATAGGATTATTTTCAACCTCTAATGTATTCTAAAAAATAGGGAGATGATATAAATACCCGACAACAGGGGAGAATTGAAATAAAATATGGTCCATCCATTTGATGGACTTTTAATATAGACATTACAAAAATCACATTTTTGAGCCATATTAAACTATATGGGGAAGAGCTCATGACATAATAATGAAGAGAGTAAAAAGCAGTTTTATCAAAAACATCTTTTCTTTTCCCCTAATAGACACAGAAAAATAATTTGGAGCGAAAGGAACTAAAATGATAACAATAGTTATTGCCTCATGATAGTATTGGGGCTTTAATTTTTCTTTTTACTTTCATGCATTGTCCAATTTTTCTAAGATGAACGACAATGGAAATTTATAAAAAGAAGAGTATATGAGCAAATTATTCAGCTTGTAGGAGGCCTTATCACATTTCCTCTTGCCCTTCTTGGCTATCTCCCATTTCCTCCTGTTTCACTTCATGTATGCTTTGATGGATATTAGTTAAGACTATAACTGATCCAAACCTGACCTGTTTGAGTTGTTAGCTAGAGAATGGGTGGTTATCTTAAGATGGAGAGGGGCTGGATGCAGCGCCCAGTAAGGCTCCTTCTGATGCAAACATACACAGGCTAAAAGTGTGTACACGAGCCCTTAGCTACCGCAGACACGCCCAGGATTGTGTACGGGCCAGGCTGGCTGTTGGGAGAAGACTGATCGACTGCTTCCTGTTTTATAAATGTTTTTTAAAAAATCATTTGAAAAACCAGTACTGTATTATTAATAGTAAATTAATTGCAAAATATTCTATAGGTATTATTCTGTAGGTATCGTGGTTGAGAACGGCTATATTTGAGGAACCAATTCTGTGACTTCTGGGGGAAAAATTCATCAGTACCACTTTCAAAGAGAATTCTGGTAGATTGGTGTGGCTGTGAAAAGGTTTGACAGCCATTCCTTAGAAGGAGCAAGTAGTCCTTCAGGTCTTTTCTCCATCCCTCTGAGCCCCATGGATGCTCTCCAGTGTGCTGTAGACCACAGGTTGGCAAATGATTGCACACAGGCCAAATCTGGCCCCCTGCCTGTTTTTGTAAAAAATAGTTTTACTGGAACACAGCCACGCTCATTCATTTATGTAGCGTCTGTGGCTGCTTTTGTTTTTTTGTTTTAAGATTTATTTACTTGAGAGAGAGCGTGCGTGTGGGGCAAGGTGGGGAGGCGAGCAGTGGGAGAAGGAGAGAGAGAATGTCAAGCCGACCCCCCACTGAGCTCTGAGCCCGAAGTGGGGCTGGATCTCACGACCCGAGCCGAAACCAAGAGTTGGGGGCCTCACCACACTGAGCCAGCCAGGCGCCCGCATCCGTGGCTGCTTTTGTGCTACAGTTGCAGTTGAGTAGCGGCGACAGAGGCCGTATGGCCTGTGAAGGTGAAGATACTAACCGTCCAGCCCTGCACGGAAAAGGATGCTGATAGCCTGCTAAGGTTAAGGAAGGTGGGGGAAAGTGGGAACCGGGAATAAGTGTTGCCTGTCGGATCCTGCCCAGGGAGAGTTTGGGAACTTGCGAAAGCCAGCCCAAAGTCCTCTTTTTGTTTGAAAAATACATCTTACAAAAATGACCTGATCTCTGCTAGCTTGATTTTTGAGCTCTTTACCCGAGATATTTAGAAACAGATGTGTAATGTGGGTAGCCAAAATATTTTAAATTCTGACCTGAGAAAATTCTAGATAAAAACAGAAAAAGCAGTGTGGAAGATCAGTTATTTTACTAAGTGCTGGGAATAACGTAAATTAGAATGAGATATGCTAAATTTTTTTTCTTCAGTGGTCAATTTTAAAACAGTTTAAATATCAAAAAAATTACAGAAAATTTAGGCAGAGAAAAGGGGGAATAGTCCCACCACATGACACGAATCACTATTAAAATTTTGTTCTATGTTCGTTTCACTGACGAAACTTATTATCGCTGTGGCCCTAGCATTTGTATAGTTTTTGTATCTAGCTTTTTTCACTTAAATTGTATTGAGGGGCGCCTGGGTGGCGCAGTTGGTTAAGCGTCTGACTCTTGGTTTCGACTCATTTTGGAGTCTGCTTCAGATTCTTCCTCCCTCCGCCTCGGCCCCTCCCCGTTCACGCTTGCTCTCTTCTCTCAAAGAAATAAAATCTTAAAAAAATTATATCGAAATCATTTTGCCAACTTAGCTTCACCCTCTTTTCCCTTGATGTGGAATATTCCATGGCAGGTCCGTGAGCTCCTTCAGCCGTCACTGGAAGATGGGGCAGGTCAGGGTGACACCTGAGGTGCTTTCCTGCAGTTTCAGGGCCTGCAAGCAGAAGAGACGACGGTTCTCTGTGCACTTGGCATCAAGCTCCCTCTCAGATACAGCCCAAGACTGGAGGAGTTCTTGCTGATTGTTACTTGTTGCAGTTTCCTCGTCAAGGAAGAGAATTTAAAACTGACTACAAGATGTAAAGTGATCCATATTCTGTAGAAATGTTGAAACAAAAGTCTCTTCTTGATTCATTTCTAGTCTCTTTTTTGTACCCAAGACAGAAGATTCATCTTTTTTATTTTTAGCACTTGTTCTTAATAAGAGATCACATTTGACTTTAATGTAGTTGCATAGTATCTGGTACGAAGATTCACAAAGGAAAAGTATCCACAGTTTGCCGAGCAGAGATGCATTTAACAAAACTGAGTAGGATTTAGAATGGTGATTATTTTTTTGGAGATGGAAGAGTTCTCAGAGGCATCTAGACCAGCCTCCCCAACCTTGTCTTTTTATCAGTGAAGTAAAGGAGCCCTGGAGGATTAAATGGCTAGTCCAGGTGACCAAGCTACAGTAGCAGTGCCAGGACCAGACCGAAGTTTCTTCTTGACTTCTGCCTTTTTTGTTCTAACCACACTGCTTTTTTTTTTTTTTTTTTTAAAGATTTTATTTATTTATTTGAGAGAGAGAGAATGAGAGAGAACACATGAGAGGGGGGAGGGTCAGAGGGAGAAGCAGACTCCCTGCAGAGCAGGGAGCCCGATGCGGGACTCGATCCAGGGACTCCAGGATCATGACCTGAGCCGAAGGCAGTCGCTTAACCAACTGAGCCACCCAGGCGCCCCTAACCACACTGCTTTAAAGAGGTTTATCAACCTGCTTTATTTTTCTACTTTATATTTTTTTTGTTTTAAATTTTCATACAACTAAAGCTGGCTCAAGGATTGGCACCAGACCTAGATTTTAAGCTCTCATGGCTAAAATCTATAGAAGAAATGCCTAGAACTTCAGAATTCATGTATTATTAGTCCATGAATTATTCAGAATTCATCCATTTCCTTTTTTATAGAGAGATGCTGTTCTAAAGTGTTTTTAAAATTCTTGTTCTTGCCCAAAGACACAAGGGCGTACTTAATCTCTGAACA